TCATATCCTGGCTCTGTGAGTGACAGGAGCTTGACCCTCCCCCAGCCCCAGGATTTGGTCAGGGATTAAATTTGCCTCCAGCAGTCCTGAGGCTTGATTCTTCCAGGCCCTCCTCCAAATCCCCAGCACCTGCTACTTAAGTCAAATTGTAGATGGATGATGGCCCAATCCCTCAGATCCCAAGAGATCAAAACATCTTCTCAACCATGGATACCAATATCTCCTTGCTCCTGAAAAACAGGCCCTTTGTTTTCTAGACTCCCACCAATATGTGGCTCTGAGGCCCTGGGAGGGCTTTTCTCTCTTCTCCTAACAGCCACTGATCTCAGATCTTAGCTGGAGATTATTTTCAAGCTCTATCAAAGCCCAGAACTCACTAGTGAAAAGGGACCATGAGCCGACTCAGCTTTGATCCTGAGACAGTGATGCCAAGAGCTCTGGTATAATAGAAAGGGGGTCATGGACAAGGCCAAGGGTGTGATACCTGGAGGCTTCTCCCAAGAGAGGTATAGGGTCTCTGAAAGCAGAAACCAGACCCTTCCTTCCAAAGTCCACAAACCCCAACCTCTGAGATTCTAAACATTTATTTATAACAACCTCAAGCCCCCCAAACACTTAAAACATGCTTTGATACACAGATGGATTAGGTTCACCCCAGATCCCAGCAGTGACCAACCCAGGTCTCCTGCTCCTCCCACTTTGGCTTTCCACACATGCGACCTCACTAGGTCCTCCAGCAGACCTGCTCATTCAGAAGCCCAGAAATGCCCCCACTGATACCAGTCAAAGCTTCCCTCAGTTCCTTCAGCCTTCACAGACAGCTCTCTTTTAAAGTTCCTCTATTCTAACCAACACTTAGCCCCCAGACCAGCAAAGTCCAGCAGAACTTTCTGCAAGAATGAAAATGTTCTCCACTCTTCAATTCTGAACATGAGGCACATGAGGTTACCACACACTTGAAATGTGGCTGGCTTCAAAACTGTGATCCCTTGGCCTCAGCCTCTGGAGTCATTGGAATTACATCATCACATCTGGCACAACTGAATTTTTAACTTTTAGTTTTCATTCCTTCCTGTTCATTAATTTTAATAGCCACACATGAGTAGTGGCTACTATATTCCACAGTATAGCCCTAGACCATATTTGTTAATACTATCCTCCAAATAGGCTTCTTGACTGGCTCTACCCCCTCCCCCCAAATTTTACAGGACTATGCATGTGGTAAGTGTTCAGCAACCTGTTAGCTATCTGGAACCATACTGGATTAAAAGAGGCTGGTTTGGTCAGGGAGACTTTCCTTACCTTGTGATTCCGCCCATCAAACCCCAATTTAAGATGCTATCCAGCCACATTGCCCTCTCTCTCACAGGAGCACAGAAAAGGTGTGCTGATAGGAAGCCACCTGTACTGGGGGGATGAGGGAGTTCTGGCATTTCCCCTTTTCAGTGTCCAGACCACAAGTGAGAGGCTCTAATTGTCCCCTTTCATGATGCCAAGGGAAACCACACCAAAGTAGCACTTACATGACTTGCAGAGGGAGGCCCACTAGACAAAGAAAAGAAGAATCTACATTACCTTTTTTCCTCTAGTCTATGTGATGGAAAGATAAACAGAGATCAGTTATGGCAACATTCTATATTTTGTAAGGCAATAACACCCTTCACCTAATCAGTGTTGCATAGCAGAGTAGGACAACAGTATCAACTTTAATTAAATTTACTCAGCTAATACCTGAAAGTTTCCATGACACAGTGAAGCAAGAAGCAATGGAGGAACCACATGGGGAATGCAACCAATTCACATGCAAATAAGTCCCTACCAAAGAAATAAACAGAATCCCCATTTTCTCGTATAAATAATAAAAAATAATATTTCTGTCAAAACTCATTGGTTGATGGGGGAAAAAAAAAAAAAAAGCTTGTTACCACAGATTCAAAACTCATGGAGCTACTGAGTTTGGAAGCTGCCCTCCAACTTTGGGGATTGTGGTTGGAAGGTGACAGATACTCACCCAGCAACCGCTGGCAATTACCAAAGGAGGACCTGAGGGCAGAGTAGCTCCGAAGATTCAAGGTACCTTGGAGTAGCAACCATCCCCATGTCCATCAATGTCACTGTAGTTAGGAAGTAAGGAGAAGCCTGAGACCAGGAGTCAGACGACCTGGGTCTAATCCTGCCTCTACCAGGTAAGTAGCTGTTTTGAAGCAAGCCACTCCTTCAGTGTGAGTCTTGGTTTTCTCATCTGCAAAATGAGGGGGTAGGATGAGATAACCCCATGAGCCCCTTCAAATTCTGCCTGAAGTATGGGTACAACTAAGAACTTGATAGAAGAGATGATGGGGAGAAGTCACAGCACCCACTGAAAGAATTTAAGCATCTGCCCTCCAAGATGAAGGTGAAGCAAGGTGAAGGTAAAGAAGCAGCAGGGTAAGTTGGGACCATTTTTAAAGCACTGATTTCACTTAACAGGGCAAAGAGGTCACCAGCCCACAGGGTATCCAGGCAGCCACCACCTCCCATCAACTCCCAAGGCTACAAGATAGCAGACTTTGGAAACCCCATTAGAGCCTAGCAGCTGGCCTCAACCTTACCTAAGGCTTCAAGAATGGGCTCAGCACACATGTGAAGGAAGGTCTCCTGCCTCTTTCTTAGGTACCTTTCCAATGGAATCACCAATCCTGCCTGTCCCACCACATCTTCCTTCCTTGCTTTATAATCAAAAGACCCCTGGTTTTTAAAATTATTTCACTATTCAGCACCTAAAATTAGTCAAAATCTAAGATCTGGAAATCTCTTTGGTGCATGTCTCTAGAACAGGATTCTTTGAACCAGATTCCCCCACAGCTGTAATTATGTCTTAGCCAATATTTGGATATGAAAGTGCTGTTGACACTGCTGTCAGTCTCCAAATGCTTCATCCTCCTTTCTTCCTCTATTATTAAGTTTTAACACAAAGCTGTGTGGGAAATCTACAATTTAACAGTTGAGTCAACTTCTAAGATCTGGAAGCAAGCTGCCTGTCAAAACAGCAGCCTCTGACTTCAATCTACACCCACTTCTACCTGCAGAAAAATAAGCTATGAGTATTATTTAATATACTTGCTTTTTTCTTTCAAAAATATTCAAAGAAAAATTCCCAAACTTCTCTCTTATTAGTTACAACAAAAATCTGAATTGCCTCCCAAAAGCATTTTAGAGGGTGTGTGTCTATTAAATAGAATAAGAAACAGGAGTTGAGAGCTTATATTCTGAAGTCTTTATATTTTTTCCAGCTAACCAAGAGAACAAACAGCCAGTGTCCCCAGACTGCTGAAACTGAAGATAGATGGCATCTCAAAAGAGACAGAAAACTCTGCAGGAAAGAATGTCTGTCACTTCCTCAACAGCACAGGTTAACTGTGGTCAAATTATATTCATTCAAAAAAAAATTATATTCATTCACCTATAATCTCCAAGGTCAGAGCCATGGTCCATCCAAATACCTTCCCACCTCTCCCCTTAGTAGCTAGTATGAAAAGAGAAGTCAAAGGCACACATAGTACAGTGGTCAAGACACTGATAAATTCCCTCTCCAACAGTCAACATTAAGCAACAATTGAGATCCCAGGACAGAAAAACTTAGAGTAAAAAACAAAGAAATTTGTTAGCACTAAGGATGAAAACAGAAGGAAAATAGAGACTGTAAAATCTAGAAATTGGACATGACTGATGAATGATTGTATATGCCAGTCATTTCACCACAACTCATATCTGGGTTTAGTGTTTGATAACTGAAATACAGCTAGCTGTGTGGGCTGAAAGGGAAGAGGAAAATATAACACAGGAAGTATTTCCCTCCTCCAATCATTAAGACACCCCAGGAGAAAGAGACCTGCCCTGTCACCTTTAGAGATGTGGTTGGACCTGAAACACTTCTGAGAAGTGAACCTTTTTGGTGACCCTGAACGACCGGCTCACACTCCGTCACATCAGACCTCCAAGTCCATTCCGTTTAACTTCTGAAGTAAGTGGTGTTGCCACGAATCCCCATCTCTCCCTCCCATACCCCCTCCAAAAAAAAAAAAAAAAAAAGCTTGGGTTTCCCCAGTCCAAGAATAGCGTTTCCTCCTGCTGTCCATCACTCACTTAGGCTGGGACCTAAGAGGCTGTCTCGGGTTTGCGGAATCAGCGCCTGGCCAAGCTGAAGCTTGTAGACTGGGTTTACAAAGATCAATGGAGCTTTGGAAACAGCAGACAACGCGCCTGCTAGCCTCCCATCTGGGGCCTCACAGGCACTGGAGGTAGGAGGGGGCCTGCTCCGGGATCAAAACAATCCCTCCCCCGCGCGCGGAGGCCGGCTTCCCCGCGGAATCTCCAGCCCCGCGCCTCCTGGGCGGGTGCGCCCCACCGCTGCACCGCCGCCCTCTCAAGGCCCAGGGAAGTGAAATCACACATTCCGCCTCCCAAATAAGGAGCGAGGCTAAATAAACCTCTGAGATCCGACTTCTCCAAACCAACCGACCAACCAGCTCAATGAGTAATGGGTCTTTTGTGCCCGCAGAAAGAAAGAATGGAGGGAGGGAAAGATTAGGAGCCACAAGCCCCGAAAATCACTTCCTTGAGATCTGGTGAAATAAGCAGAAGTGGTCCCGAAGACAGACCGTTGCGACTCGGCTGGATCCCGCTCAAACCCCAAAATGGCAGAGTCCTCACGAGTCCTCTGGAGTCCCCGCCACTCACTCCCGGAGGTGACCGGAAACTCGGTCTCCGTGGCGAGGTCTGCCGGGACCCGACCTTCGCCGCCACCCTCCCGCCTCTCGTCCCGCACCTCGGGGCACCTCGGGCACCCTGACCGGGCAGCCCCGCCGCGGCCCCACAGTCGCCGGGGACACCCTGTCCGAGGTGAGGGTCAGCACCCAGCGCTGACCGCCCGTGCACTGCGGCCGCTTCAGCGAGCTGGGGATCCGTTCCCGGAACCCCTTTCCGACCTCGTCTTCCCCTTCCCCGGGCCCCAGACCTACTTTGAGAGCGAATTTCTCCTGGGTCCTCTTGTTGAAGATCTGCAAAACTTTCCCGTTGATGCCCAGTCCCAGAACCTGGCTGGTGACCTTGTAGTCGTCGATGATGGCGTTCTTCTTGATCTGCAAGCTCGACTTGACGTGGAACTGGGGGAAC